CAGAGCTCCCCCACTGCTACCCCAGCCTGTCCCTATCTCAACCCCTGCCCCCACCTCTGCTCCTACCCTCCCTTTTTGTCCCCCTGCCCCCTACCCTATCCCCATTCTGGAGCCCCCTGTCTATAACCCAGCACTCATGCCTCTACTCCAGAGCCCCCACTAGCCCCTGCCCCCACCCTGAAGACTCCTGCTCCCAGTACATCCCCACCCCATATCCCCTTTGCCAGCTCTTATCACTGGGTTGCCCCTGCTCTGGACTGACCCCCACCCCAGAACCCCGCTAGCCCTGTACCGAGAGGAAGGCGTGAACAATGTCAGCCTTGATGGAGCTGAGGGGCTTGTCCCGGATCACCACAAAGATCTGCTCCTCCTTGTCCAGCGACATGAAGTTCCCAAACCAGGACTTCTTGGCTAGCCTGTGGGACAGGGGGTCAGTACTAGAGGTAACATGTGGGCAGGGCAGAGGGTTGGGGCAGGGGGTAGCAGTAGAGGGCAGGACATGGTCTCAGTGCTGGGGGAGTGCAAATTCAGGGGATTAGTGTCAAGGGCAGGGCTGGGGCTTGTTGTGGGATTGGACAGAGAAGAGCCTGGGCAGGGGTGGATCCAGGTGGGGTGCAGTCAAACCCCCACCCCTTTGATTCCTGCTCCACCCAAACTTTAAAACCAATGGTTTGGGAAGGGCAGTGCATTTCTATGCAGGCAGCACTGAGGGAGTAAATTGATTTCACGGCTCATTATCAGGAATCCAGGTTTCCCATTTCCCATGGGAAAACAGGAAAAAATGTATTTTTCCTTTTACATGAGAGAAATGTGGATTTTTCATAGATTCATAGATTCATAAATGTTAGGGTCAGAAGGGACCTCAGTAGCTCATCAAGTCCGACCCCCTGTCCTGGGCAGGAAAGAGCGCTGGGGTCAGACAACCCCAGCTAGGTACTTGTCCAGTCTCCTTTTGAAGACCCCCAAGGTAGGGGAGAGCACAACCTCCCTTGGAAGCCCAGTCCAGATTCTGGCAACCCTTACTGTGAAGAAGCTCTTTCTAATGTCCAACCTAAATCTGCTCTCCCTTAATTTGTGGCCATTGTTCCTAGTTACTCCAGGGGGTGCCCTAGTAAATTTCATTTTAACATAGAAACATGCAGATTTTGCACTTTTGCAGAGAGCTCTCTGCAGGCTGGAAGATCCAGGCTGCAAGGGGTTGGGGGGAGCAGGAGGAGAGCAGTGAGGCAGGGGGACCACATGCACCTGCACGCTTACACATGTGCATGGCCACCAGGCAGCCTGGAGAGCAGCTCCTGCAGGTAAGTCTGGCTGGGGGGAGAGGGGGATTGAGGCCTCCATAGGGACAAAGGGAGGGAGGGAGTTGGGCAGGGCTAGAGCTGGGGCTACTGCCAGCCCCAGCGGTGTTGAGGTCCAGGGCTGCAATGTGCAGCCTCAGGGCCCCGGTGGGGGGCAGGGCAGAGCCATGGGTGGCTCATCTGTGGGGTGGGCCTGATTCCCCACTGCTGTGTGCACTCCAAGGAGGGCAGGAGGGGCACGTACCCACCAGATTTGTGTGCAGGGTGGGTGCGGGCTGCCTGCTGTGGGCTCAGGCTCCCTGCCCTGCTGCCCTACCCCAGGGCCTCCACAGTCCAGTGGGTGGGACCTGGTGGAGCGGGGCCAGGCATGGAAGCTCAATGCCACCACAAGCCCCGCACCACTCTAGTGAGGTGTCCCCTGCCCACCCAGCAGCGGGGGCAGCTGCACTGAGTTGTGGCCCTCACTGCTGCTGGGCAGGCAGAGGATGCCTCACCAGGGCAGTGCAAAGCTCCCAGTAGTGGCACCAAGCTTTCCCACCCTCCCTCACTCCATCCTGCTGCTCCAGGTCCTGCCCACTGGGCCATGGAGGCACTGGTGGAGGGCAGCTGAGTGGGAAGCCCAAGCCCACAGTGGGCAGCCTGCACCCCCCAGCCCTGCAACAGGCTCCCCACCCATGGGGGGTATGGAGGCCGGCACCATGCTCCACTATGCCACAGCAGCTGCTGTCTCTGGCGAGCAGCTACCAGGGCTCAGGCACTGCTGTGAAGGGCAGGGAGCTGTGGACCCAGGCCCCTGGCTTGGTAGCCCTGACAGCTGGGGGCTCCTTCCAGCAGGGCTGGGGGGGAGTGAGGGGCACCTGCAGGGCCAGAAGGCTGTGGGGGTGGGAATGAAGGGCCTGGATCTGCATCCTGGTGAGCAAAGGGGGCAGGGGGAGCTCTGATTTTCCATGATAAAATACCCCAAATCAAATACCAAAATTTATAGGTACTTAGAATTTGTTTTATTACAGTGATTGAGACACTGGTAGGCTTCCAAATTGCTTTAAAATTGTAAATATATCAATAAAATATTGTGTTCAACTGATACCTATATATAGAGTGACATTTCGTTTTAATAGAAGGTTTTGGGGTTTTTAATCAGAGAATTTGCAATTTTTTTATCAGAGAAAACCAGGATTTCTGCTCATTACCATCTCCCTGATTCTTACTCATCTGTCCCTCCACATGTGTTAACAAACCTCTCTAATAGTCTTGATGTTCTACTATTCAAATGTTCCTTTCTTCTGCAGTTTTGCTATCTATTCAACATTCCTGGTAAAGTCTCTCATCTATTTTACAGTCTGCAGAATGGTTTCATAGATCTAGCTAAAATCTTAAATCAGATGTGGTCATATTAATCCAGGTGTAGAACTGACTGACAGTGAAGTATTGCAGGCATGATCAGGGAAATCCAGAAAGTTAGATTTTGTTTTATGAATCTGGATAAGAGATGCTAATTTAACTATAATGACGACAGGACTCATGATACAATATTCTTTGACTATTTTTGCAGTATTTGTTGTAATAGATACAGATATCTATTATAGTTCCACTATTATGTATATAATTTTACTATTCCACTATTATCTATACTTCCACTGTTATCTATATAGATGTTGTAATAGATATAGATATAGATTCATAGATTCATAGATGTTAGGGTCGGAAGGGACCTCAATAGATCATCGAGTCCGACCCCCTGCATAGGCAGGAAAGA